TTCAAATTATTTATTTCTGTATTTTAAAAACAATTTTAGAATGTAAAAAAATTGTAAAGAGATGATATTTTCTTTTTATTCGGTTTAAAAGTCAAAATGAAGTGGACTAGGAAGATTGTGGTGCGCCAAATTTCCAAGATACTGTGCTGTGAAAGTATAACATCTGTTTACAACTCGGTATCTATATTCTACCTCATTAGGTTGATTATTTATCTACCTCACTCTGTTCATATATATATAGTATCTATCTATCTATCTATCTATCTATCTATCTATCTATCTATCTATCTATCTATCTATTTGTCAGTTCGTTCAAATATCTATTTATCTATCTATCTCTTAGTAAGTTCACATCTATCTATCTATCTATCTATCTATCTATCTATCTATCTATCTATCTATCTATCTATCTCTGTCATTATTTCTTAGCTGTGTAGATAGATCTAATATATAAGTATCGGGGATTTTAAAAGCGTTATAATTGTAAAAAGATAATTAGTCTTACATCCCATAAATTATTCAGCCAACTCTCCTGAGCTCCGTTGTGTAGTATGTGATTCACACCCAGAAGATATAATTGATCTGTGGTGTCCTCAGTATTTCTGGTTTCTCTCTAAGAGATTTCAAATTAATTGTAGACAGATTATTAAGAAAGAGTGTGAGATAATGAACACTGAGATGGATAAATAGATAACAGACTGAAATAGATTATGATGAGATAGATAACAGATTGAGATAGATAGATAGATAGATAGATAGATAGATAGATAGATAGATAGATAACAGTTTGAGGTAGATAGATAGATAGATAGATAATGAACACCGAGATCGATAAATAGATACCAGACTAAAATAAATTATGAACAGCGATAGATAGATAGATAGATAGATTGAGGTAGATAGATAGATAGATAGATAGATAGATAAGAAACACTGAGATCGATAGATAGATAACAGACTGAAATGCATCATGAACAGAGATAAATAGATAGATAGATAGATAGATAGCAGATTGAGTTTGATAGATAGATATATAATGAACACTTAGATAGAGAGATAGATAGATAGATAGATAGATGGATAACAGATTGAGATAGATAGATAGGTAGATAGATAGATAGATAGATAGATAGATAGATAGATAGATGAATGGGTAATGAAAACTGAGATCGATAGATAGATACCAGACTGAAATAGATTATGAACAGAGATAGATAGATAGATAGATAGATAGATAGATAGATAGATGAATGGCAGATTGAAATATATATATATATATATATATATATATATATATATATATATATATATATAATGAACACTGAGATAGATAGATAGATATAGATAGATAGATAGATAGATAGATAGATAGATATGAACAGATTGAGATAGATACGAACAAAGTGAGTTATTTGTTTGACGGTAAGGTTCACCCTGTACAAGGTCTCGGGACCACTTGTAGTCGAGGGTTACGGTTAACTCTAGCCTTGAACAGGTTAAGATTGTATTGATCGCGGAAACATCCTCTTGGGAATTTCTGTTCCACAGAGAAGTTGTTCGCGTGATGAAGCTCTCATCTTCTCCCTGATGCATTACAGAGCGAATCTCGCTGGTTTTTACTATGTAATCGGCATCGCTGTTGTTAAGCGCCAAAGTTAGACTTCGTGGAAACAATGAATGAGCACTTTTCCATGGCAGTAGCGATAGAGCTGAGAGAAGATAGCCACATTCCGCCAGTGAGAGACAGAGACTGGAGGCTAGAAAATAATTCTTCTTCAAGGAAACGGAGACGCTTTTGAAATCCAGCAAGACTGGAAAGTGAGGTCTGGGAAGCTCCTGCCCAGGTATGACAACAGGACTTCATCTTCGGCCTAATCTGACTCTTGCAAAGGTAGAGGATAGTACGAGGAGTCAGATAGATAGATAGATAGATAGATAGATAGATAGATAGATAGATAGATAGATAGCGAGAGAGAGAGAGAGACCGGGAGAGAGAGGTTGGGAAAGCTAGCTAGATATATGTGAACAGAATGGGATAGATAGATAGATAGATAGTTAGATAGATAGATAGATAGATAGATATATAGATAGATACCGAATAGACTAAGATAATAGATATGAACAGACGGAAATATATATATAGAGAGAGACTGGGATAGATAGATATATAGATACTGAATAAACTGAGATAGATAGATAGATAGATAGATAGATAGATAGATAGATAGATAGATAGATAGATAATGAGGAAACTGAGATAGAGAGAGATAGATAGTTACTAAAAAGACCGAGATAGTTAAATAGATAGATATGAAGCGACAATAGTATCAGAAAAAAGGCTAAGAGTTATCGAATTATTATTATTAGTAGTAGTAGTAGTATTTGTATTAGTTGTAGTAGTAGTAGTAATAGTATAAGTATCAGCAGTATTTATCATGTGATTGAATAAGAAAGAATCAATACGACACCCAATCGATGAGGAATATTTTTGAGTGAGCATGAAAGAAGATTTTCGACTGGTCGTGTTAGGTAATATAGAAATATTTCCAGTCCAGTGTTTAAATTGGTTGGAATTTGAATTAATTTGAAATTCCTGACAATGAAGAGTTATTACCGTGAAGGTCAAAGAAGGCAAAAAATGATTCGTGTGAGTAAAAAAAGTATCAGCGCGGCTTGTAAGAAAATTCGGTTAATAATTCAAAAAGATGACATCTTTTTCAATTATTATATGTGATTTAGAGAAAAGTTTCTATTAACTAAAGTAGCAATCAAAATAACTTCTCATCAGATTGCCCGTCTGGCTGCTGATCTATCTATCTATCTATCTATCTATCTATCTATCTATTTATCTATCTATCGCAGTCTGTTCATTATCTATCTATCTATCTATCTATCTATCTATCTATCTATCTATCTATCTATCTATCTAAGTTTGTTCCTATCTATCTATCTCTATATATTTGGCTATACATAGATAAATAGATAGAAAGAGACAGAGTGACAGACTGAGAAATATGAAGATATGAAAATGGATAGGCAGATATTTTGGTGGATGCACAAACAAATTGAAAAAAACAACGTAACGCTTCCTTCTGTTTAAAGAGAGACAACGATAGATAGATAGATAGATAGATAGATAGATAGATAGATAGATAGATAGATAGATAGATAGATACGAACGGACTTATATAATGAACTGTCTGAAATAGATATATATATATATATATAGATAATGAACAGATTGAATATCTGTATATTTCTGAGATGAGGTATTATGTACACTATTTACATTATTCGGACTATTGTCCTCATCTTTGTTGCCATGTTTATTACAAAGTTTCGGCCTTTCAGTATCTGTCTATATTTCTGAGATGAAGTATTATGTACACTATTTACATTATTCGGACTATTGTCCTCATCTTTGTTGCCATATTTATTACAACGTTTCGGCCTTTCAGTATCTGTCTGTATTTCTGAGATGAGGTATTAACTATACTATTTCTATTATTCGGACTATTGCCTTCATCTTTGTCGCCATATCTATAACAACGTTTCGGCTTTTCAGTATCAGTCTGTATTTCTGAGATGAGGTATTATGTACACTATTTACATTATTCAGACTGAAGGACGCCATAGCGTACAATGGTAGAAAAGTTGTAATAAATATGGCGACAAAAATGAGGACAATAGTCCGAATAATGTAAATAGTGAACAGATTGAGATAGATAGATAGATAGATAGATAGATAGATAGATAGATTGACAAAAGGAGATAGATAGATAAATAGATATATAGATACACCCACATACATCAAGGAGTGACTAGGATATACAGACACGAACAAATTGAAAACAAAACCTATAAACTAGCAATGTGAACCACCGATTGATTCCATTAAAATTTTTCAACCATTCATACTGCTGTGAGAGAGCAGATTTAATATACAAGGTCGCAAGCAATTTTTGAAGGCTGTCTGTATGTGCCATGCGGACCACTGAGTAAAACATTTCTCGCAAAATCCTCGTTTTTTTATTTTTCTAATTTAAAAGTAATAACATAGCTTTTTCAATTTTTTTGTATATTATTAAAAGCCAAAGTAACATAAAATAAATGGTGCCGTGGCATAGTGCAATCTGCTCTAAGACCAGAGATAATATGTTTTCTCAATTTTCTATTTAATGTTCTTTTCTCATATCAATATAGATTCAACATTTCAGACAAGGATATCTAATTAAACATTTCTTAAATATAAATAGTTTGTCTAGTTTTCTATGTAAATTAATCTACATGCGTAAGCCAAAACAAAAAAGGCTCATCGAAATTTAAATTGTAATCTGGTGTAGGAATTCAGAAGATAACGATTGTTATTGAATTTTAATTTTTGAAGATCAAAGGCAATGAAGTTAATAGTAAGCAAAGGGTTAATAAGTGTTAGAGAATATGAGAAAAAAAACTACTATTAATGAGAGAGGGCAATAAAAGAATAAGAATTTAGAAGACAGAAGATAACGATTGACATTGTATTTAAATTTTTGAAGATCAAAGGCAATAAAGCCACTAGGATGCAAGGGGTTACTGAGTGTTAGAGAATATGAGAAAAACTATTATTTATGAGAGAGGACAATAAAAGGGAATTAAGAAGACAGAAGATAACGATTGACATTGCATTTAAATTTTTGAAGATCAAAAGGCAATAAAGACTAGGATGCAAGGGGTTACTTGTTACATATGAGAAAAACTACTATTAATAAGAGAGGACAATAAAAAGAACTGGAATTGAAGATCATTGCATTTAAATTTTTGAAGATCAAAGCCAATAAAGCCACTAGGATGCAAGGGGTTACTGAGTGTTAGAGAATATGAGAAAAAAACTACTATTAATGAGAAGTGACAATAAAAGAACTGAAATTAATAAGACAGGAGATAACGATTGACATTGCATTTACATTTTTGAATTTTTGAAGATCAAACTTGACTGAGAAGCCAGAAGCCGGAATAGGTTTCAACACGTGAGACGTACGAGAGAAGAAACTGTTACCATAGAACTTGCGGTTATATCAGAAAAAGTAATGAAACCTTGTCGCTAATCTAATACAACGCTTAAATTTTGATTCCATGGCAGAAGGCATCTTCTATTACTTCTAGGTTTCGTCGTATCTTTGTTCAGGCTTCCTCTCTTCTGTTTATTCCACTAACGAGATTGTTAGATTTCTGTACCTGCTTGATTCTTATGTCTGTCATTCGAAAATGACATTTTGGCTTTCTCTCTGGCGAACAATCATGTATTCTGCCTTCTTGCTGTCAATGATTTCTTCCTTCTTTCTCGCTTTCTTTAGCTATTTTGTCCAGAATTTCTTTCAGGCTCCCTTCTAAGACTACCTTCCAAACAGTGTCATCAGTTGAGATGTTGTTTTAATTATGTCTGTAATGTATGTAACAGGACTTAAAGTTCTCTTCGGTGTACCTTGGTGTGTCGGTGAAATAAATCCGATGAGAGAATTCATCCTTTTTTTAAAATCCTCATTATACTTTTTTGTGTAATTGATCAATTCTAAAAGGAATCTGTGTATTTTAATTTGTTAAAATTATGTCACCTATAAGAAAGCCGAGAAGAAGAAGACAAATAACTAGCAAATGAAGAAGAAGAAGAAGAAGAAGAAGAAAAAAAACTGAAAGGAAACGAAGAAGAGGGAAGAAGAAAAGGATGAGGAAGAAAAGAGAAGAATAAAATGTAGCCTGAAGAAAAAAACTGAAAAGAAGAAGAAAAGAAGAAGAAGAAAAGAAGCAAGAAGAAGAAGAAAAAGAAAAGAAAAAGATGGGAATGCTGAAAGAAGAAGAAAAGAAGAAGAAGAAAGAAAGGGGAATGAGGAAGGAATGCTGAAGCTGAAGAAGAAAGGAAAGAAATTAGAAGGATTGAAGAAGAAGAAGAAGAAGAAGAAGAAGAAGAAGAAGAAGAAGAAGAAATTAGGAGGGAGAGTTGAAGAAGAAGAAGACTAAGAATAAAGGGGGAGGGAATGCTGAAGAAGAAGAAGAAGAAGAAGAAAAAGAAAAGAAGAAGAAGAAGAAGAAGAAGAAGAAGAAGAAAGCAGGAAGGAATGCTGAAGAAGAAGAAGAAAGGAAAAAGGATTGCCGAAGAAGAAGAAGAAGAAGAAGAAGAAGAAGAAGAAGAAGAAGAAGAAGAAAAGAAGAAGAAAGGAGGAAGAGGAATGCTGAAAAAGAAGAAAAAAGACGAAAAAAAAAAAGGAAAGGAAGAAAAATAGGAGGGAATGCTGAAGAAGAAGAAGAAAGGAGGAAGGATTACAGAGGAAGAAGAAGAAGAAGAAATTAGGAGGGAGAGTTGAAGAAGAAGAAGAAGAAGAAGAAGAAGAAGAAAAAAGAAAAGAAAAAGAAGAATAAGGAGAAGAGGAAGTTGAAGAAGAAGAAGAAGACGAAAAGAAGAAAAAAGGAGGAAAAAAAATGAAAAGGGAAACAAAACTAAGAAGAAGAAGATAGGAGGAGGAAGGATTAAGAAAAAGAAGAAGAAGAAGAAAGAAGGAAGAAGAAGAAGAAGAAGAAGAAGAAGAAGAAGAAGAAGAAGAAGAAGAAGAAATTAGAGGAAGAGTTGAAGAAGAAGAAGAAGAAGAAAGAATAAAGGGGAGGGAATGCTGAAGAAGAAGAAGAAGAAAAAGAAGAAGAAGAAGAAGAAGAAGAAGGAAGGAATGCTGAAGAAGAAGAAGAAAGGAAAAAGAAGAAAGAAGAAAGAAGAAGAAGAAAGAAGGAGGAGGGAGAAGAAGAAGAAAAAGACGAAAAAAAAAGGAGGAGGGAATGAAAGAAGAAGAAGAAATTAGGAGGAAGAAGAAGAAGAAGAAGAAGAAGAAGAAGAAGAAGAAAAGAAGAAGAAGAAGAAGAAGAATAAAAGGAATTAGGACGGAGGGAAGAAGAAGAAGAAGAAAGGAAGAAAAGAAGAAGAAGAAGAAGAAGAAGAAGAAGAAGAAGAAGAAGAAGAAGGAAGAAAATTAGAGGAGAAAAGAAAGATAAGAATATGATGTTGCCGATAAAAAAATGAAAGGAAACAAAGAAGTAGCAAGCGATGAAGAAGAAGAAGAAGAAGAAGAAGAAGAAGAAGAAGAAGAAGAAAGGATGAGGGAGAGAAGAAGAAGAAGAAGAAGAAGAAGAAGAAGAAGAAGAAAGTAGAAGGGAGAGTTGAAGATGAAGTAGAGGCAAAAAAGGTGGAGGGAAAAGAAGATGTCTCCGATAAAAAACAAAAAAAAACAAACTAGAATACTACGACGAAGTAGCAAGCAAAGAAGAAGAAAAAGAAAAAGAAGAAGAAGAAAAAGAAGAAGAAGAAGAAGAAGTAGAAGAGTAAGCAAAAAGATCAGTTAGTTCGTAGTTGTGGTTCTACTATTAGATCCGATGACATTGAGGTGCAATCTGAAAGATTCTAATTCGAACTTGACTCGCAAACAGAAGAGGCCATGGAAATATGCAGATCAACAGTTAAGAGGGTCGCTTCGAGCA